TTTCTGTACAAGTTTTATTTTTAGTTATTACAAGATTACTTTGTTGCTATTATCATTTCACCACTATACGGTTGAATTTGTTATTGTTTTTATATTATATAATCAAACTTATTATAATTTCCCCGTTATAGAATACAATTTATTATTTTTCCGCCATTACGTAACCCAGTTTATTATTAATATTATTTTGTCATTATATTTGTTATTTTCAGAGTTTTTAGTGTACACTGGATGGATTTAGACCTTTTGGCAATACAGACAGAAATAGAAAACGACCTTTACTCTCCAGATAATAATAACAAAACTATTTCAACCAAAGTTTCGCCATTGCGGATTTATCAGGAAGTACAAGTCAAGTACAAGAACTACTAGCCCTGATAAAGCCGCAATGACGAAAATTTGGCTAAAATAAAAATATTTTTTTACTATTATCTGGAAAGTAAAGGTCGTTTTTTTCTAACTTTATTGCCCAAATGTCATTATTTTTGTTTATTGTTAAGCGCATAGCTAAACAGTAGGCTATCTGTGTTCTGCCCACCGCGGGTATTAATGCCAGATTCTTAGCATTATAAGCCCTCAAAGCTACCGCTGAACCACTGAGAAGAGGGGGGGGGGCCTTTCGTTATGTAGTTCAACTTATTATTACTGTTACTATGACATTAAATATTTACTTTTATCATTATTTAGTCCAGTTTATTTTAGTCCTTCACCTTGTGTTTGTTTTCAGATTGAGATGTGAAACTATACCTTTTGAATTGTAACAGTACCTTCTTTACGCTCATTTAAACTTAACTATGCCGTGTACAGATCATTACGCCTATTTAAACTTAATTATGCCGTGTACAGATCTTTACGCCTATTTAAACTTAACTGTGCCGTGTACAGATATTCACGCTTATTTAAACTTAATTATGCCGTGTACAGATCTTTACGCTTATTTAAACTCAATTATGCCGTGTACAGATCTTTACGCTTATTTAAACTTAATTATGCCGTGTACAGATCTTTACGCCTATTTAAACTTAATTATGCCGTGTACAGATCTTTACGCCTATTTAAACTTAATTATGCCGTGTACAGATCTGAACTAGATTTTCATTTCATTTCATCAGATTTTAATGTAAATGTTGTATTCTAATTTCTTTTGAGGCACACATTATACTACTGTATAACAAGAATAAAAAACAAACAACGTCCCTAACGATAGTATTACCGAAACTTGTCGGCTGAAATAACTAATAAAGTTTATTTTTCATTGTGCAAAAAAAAAAGTTTTTATTCATAATATACTGTTTTATTCAATTATTTTCAGTACCACGTTTGACTGGCGAGTATTCCCCCCCCCCCCATATATATGTATATATATTACGTGTTTTTTTTTTTCGCTCTGTGTACTTGATGTTTATTGGAAAGAGTTTCTCATGTTTTATAATGATTTTATTAATTTTTAGGATATTATCATGGTAAAATGCATTATTCTGTACGGACTGAATTTCCGTGTATACTATCTGCCGGTGTTCTTCGGTGACATCGGTACTTAGTTGAATAGAAGGACTGTATTTCCCATGCACCGCATTGTAAAGATCAGTTTTGTATTATAACTGGATTAAAGTCGGCTTGACGATAAGCCTAAGATAAAAGAGATAAAATATAACGTAACTTACGCTCATGCGAAGATAGAGCTGTGATTCTGCACAGATCTGATAAATCCGGGTGTACTAATTCATCTCTTGTTGCTATACTATCTATGACTTGGGTCGAATAAAAAAAAAATTATCTACTGTTTGATTGGATAATTTTATCGTACTCAACACTTGTGATTGGTTAGCTGTAACGAGAATGTGACTTGTGAGAGTACTTTTGTGCTAGCATAGAAAGATTTGTGGCAGCTTTCAGAAAGTTAAGACTGACCTGTACTGGTTTTCTATCCACTGTTTTTTGGTCGCCAACGGTTTTTATTTTATTTTCTCTGTATTCGTTAATGAGAATCAAATGTGCTTGTTTTTTAGTATAGATTAGTCTAGTCTCTTTCACTCCACCGACAACAGATCAATGATGCCTCCTTTCACTAATCAAATCGTCAAACTTCTCATTCCCGTGGTGATCCAATACTTGTGTAAACTATATTCCGAATCCCAGAATACAACAACTAGAAGTACCTCAAGAAGGAACAAATACAGTTTTGATAGTTGCAATTGGTAGTCTACATAAAAAAAAAACAGTTAGTTAAGAAAGGTTGAGTCACAGAAACACAAGAAAACAAGAAGGAATCCTCAATAGCCGCGGCACTTGACATTCTTTTAGGCAGGATTAGAGTCAGTTAATCTATGGTACCTTAGGCGTGGTCAAATACATCAATCCAAAGGGTCTGACACCCTGAGTCCAAAACTGTAATTAGATCTCATATCGGTTAAGAGATGACAGCGCTATGAGCTAAACGTTTGTACTTGATAAAATACAAAAACCAAAAACTCAGAGCTAGGTGTTCTATGAGCCGCTGTTCCGTGGCTAAAAAAATAAATTCCATCAATATTGCAATTAATTCTAATAATTACTACTGGGGTGCTTTGTGTATTTTACATAGAAAATGGATGATTTTACCCTATTTTTTGGTCACTTCTTTACAATGTGTGTTGAATTAGACAAATACATGATACAGTATGTAGACCTCACCGTTGCTGAATGGTATAAAAACAAGTCGGTAAATCTGATGGTTCAAAAATATTGAACATTTTAAAAGCACCTAGTAGCGTAAGATGTTTTGTTTCGATCTGCTTGGTAGAATGGCTGATTCCCGCATCTTTGCAGAAAAAAAACTACGTTTATATTTTTACTAAAGATCAGAAAATTGCATAATGAACACGACGTTTCACTAAGTTAACCCAGCGTTTTTACTTGATTTCCAGTTTCCATAGGTCTCAAGACACCTCACTACAATACATAAGTTTGTTATATCACAAGTACAGCTTTTACGGTAAGTAACATATGTTTTTAGAACAGGTACGACGTTTCGAACACTGGTGCGATCATTCTCAAGTTCACAAGTTATAACGGTAAAGAAAGTTTTAGTATTTAAAGCAACATTCTAACAATGTAATTAAATTCTAGAATCCGTGTGAATTGACAGATTATCTATTTATAGCTAAACAGAAAAGCAACAACCAAATATGAATAAATATAAACACTATGAAAGATGTTATGCAACATATTTACATAAAATTAGGGAAATGTGAGGGGAAATAACGACCAAAGATATATAGGGATGTGTCTGGATGTTTGTTAATTGTGGGATTGTTTGATTTTATTAATAAGGTTTTTCTGATTTTTCTTCTATTAATGTCATGTTCTTGTTTCAGTACTGTGACATTCTGTACAGAAAAACTGGTTTTGGGAAGATGATGTTTTTTGTTATTCTTTTAACCTGATCTTCAAGTTACGTCCCACACAATTAACAAATACCCAGACACATCTCTATATATCTTTGGTCGTTATTTCCCCACACATTTCCTTAATCTTATGCAAATATTTTGCATAACTTCTTTCATAGTTTTATATTTATTCACTTTGAGTTGTTTTTTTTTCTGTTTAGCCGTAAAGAAATAATCTGTCAATTCATGCGGATTGATATGTACATGCATAACTAACCAATATCAGTTCTAGAACTTAAATACATTGTTCGACAGTTGAATTTTGATTTATATACTAAATCGTTCTTTAGAGTTAAAACTTGTGTACTTGAGAATGATCGCACCAGTGATCGAAACGTCGTACCTGTTCTAAAAACATATGTTACTGTAAAAGCTGTAACTTGTAACATAACATAATTAATCAGTAATTAAACTCAAAACGAAACTATTAATACATAAGTCTATACTTATTCGATAAATTAGCGTTATATTTGAGTTTATATTCGTTTTATGATATTACTAAACAATTTGTATTTCAAATATCGGTATGAAATTTGATATTTCATAAGCATGCAGTAACTAAAACATCTTGTATTCACGGACAACTTACAAATAATGTATGTTAAACCATAGTAAGTTTAATCTATAACTATTGTCTGCATAAGAACAAAAATATAATAATCTAACGTCTAATCATTCTTTAACAAGTCGGTTGGCGATCATATAGAAACTTAAGAAATGAATTAGTAAAAACAAACCAGGATTCACATGATTTCTTTCCTTTGATAACACCATATTTTTTGTTGTTTAGAAAAGACCTTGGTATTATTCCATCATTGATAAATTAATCTAAACACTTTTTTCTGTCTTACTTAAAGTAGTTAATTTTTTTACTTTAGCCAAAAAAACAAACTTGTTACTTATATAAATCACGTGTCCAGGGTGTGAGGGTCACGTGGAGTTTCCCCAACGCATACAGTAGCTTTGGGAATTTTCCTTCCCATTAGGTCTGGGGAATGATACTTTAACCCTCCGAGTGGATATGGGGGGACTCTCTGGAACGGAATCTCCCCACTAGATTGTCTTGTTGCGAAGTGGTGTTTTTATATGTCTTGTGTGTCATGATTTATCTAATCTGTCTCGCTATATATAAATATAGTCTTGGTCAATTAAAACATTCTTTTGCCAAAGAAATCATCGTTCTTCGAGACGGACAACGGTAAGAGTTTTGTTTATATCCAACCTCGTGTAACATTAACAAGAAACTTCCCCTCGAATGTAATTTGTTGTGATCAAGTAACATTTGATGTTCAGTAGATTTAACAAAATACTCTGATGTGCGTAATAGCACGTTCTCGGCGTTCTTTATTGTTTATTACTAAAGTAATAAATTCTAAATTGTTCTGACCGGATCGGCACTGGTTGTTACTGTTAGTTGTAGACGAAACATGCAGTCATTAACAATTAGTAAACAGATAACTATTGAAATTCTCAGTTATGACAAAACAGGTCTTTACTAACTGTTAGTAAACTGGTATTTGTTGGCTGTTATTTAATAGGTTTTTACTCCGTAATCCTTGACAAACCGTAAAGATGCCCCAGACTCAGTTCAAGGAGTTGCCTCAGGTTCAGATTAATGAAGTCGCTAAAGATCCTCTGAATGAAGTAATAAAGAACGCTTCCATACAGGAGAGACCGTGTGAAGAAACTATGGATTATTATAAGAACTGGGCATCAGACTATGACAAGGTAATTCTGCCAAACAAGAGACTAAATTGTTTATCGTCTTTTTTGAAACAAGTTAAACATTAAGCACATTAGACCACCCCAAGTATTGTCTTCATTATCAAAACATTCTTTAATACTTTTTCTTTCTTAGCCTCGTTTTCTTTACCACAACATAGTATACGGGCGCTTTCTTAGAGCCTTGTGTTCCTTACCACAATATATTTTAGTACGGTATCTTTCTCAGAGTTTTATTTTTATTACCACAATATAGCTTAGTTTATCTCTTTCCTTGAGTTTTGTTTTCCTTATCAGAATCTTGTTTTCTTTACCACAATATATTTTAGTACGGTATCTTTCTCAGAGTTTTATTTTTATTACCACAATATAGCTTAGTTTATCTCTTTCCTTGAGTTTTGTTTTCCTTATCATAATCTTGTTTTCTTTACCACAACATAGTAATATGGTATCTTTCTTAAGAGTTTTGTTTTTATTACCACAATGTAGCTTAATTGATCTCTTTCCTCGAGTTTTGTTTTCCTTATTGGAATCTTGTTTTCTTTACCACAACATAGTAATACGGTATCTTTCTTAAGAGTTTTGTTTTTATTACCACAATATAGCTTAATTGATCTCTTTCCTAGAGTTTTGTTTTCCTTATTGGAATCTTGTTTTCTTTACCACAACATAGTAATACGGTCTCTTTCTAAGAGTATTGTTTCCCTTATTACAATATAGATCAGTACAGACATTTTACAGTCTTTATCTTCGAGTATTATTTTTATTATGACAAGTTATAGTGGCGCGGGTTGGATATCGGAACTGTTCCATCTATGTTCGATTCCACAAAGTATTCCTGCACTTTAAACTGTGGTACGTTATAAGCTTGAAAGTCAATCCATTAGCGTGGATAGTATATACTACCTCCAGTCAGTGATCACAATTATGGATCGCGGCAGATTTTAGATTTGCCATGAATATAAATACAAAATCACACGCGTAGTTTAATACAGTCTATTTCTTAGAGACTTGTTTCCTTGTATATCAAGATACACGGTACTGTGCCGTGCGGCCAAAACAACCTGCAGGACACTGTGTGTTATTAACAGGAGTGATAGTTTAGCAGCAGTTTTCCACTTTCTGTAGCTCGGTCTGTAGTAATCCAAACTATCACATATTTTCAATAAGAACTTTACAGAAAATATTCATTCATTAGTTAGCTAGGTGGCGTTTCTTGTTCAACTTAGAGCATGATGGTGGGTAGGACAAAATACGCTGCCTAACTAACTAATGAATGTTTGCTGTAAAATTCTTATCAATGTTATAAGTGTAGCAACCAGATTGGCCGCCAATTTTAATCTCAATCCTTTAAGTCTTACGCTCAATCCTTTTTTGGTCGCACCTTTTTTTTTTTTCACACCTAAGATGTTTTTAATTAGATTACATTTTAACAGGAGCTATCTGTTATTATGTCCTTGTTTCTATAAATCATAGATATCTCAGTCAAATTATGAGTCATATTTTCTTCACTTCGTTGTCATTAATTATAAATTAATTCCTTTTAATATGTGTTTCTAAAATGTTAAATACTAGTTTTCTAAGTCACTTCGTATTGTTATATTTAGCCCATTAACGTTTAAGAGCCATCTTTTGTATATATATATAAATCTTTGTAAAACATTAAAGAAAACCAAAAATAGCTTCAATCTTGGTTTTCCTCTAACACTACCGTTGAGTAATGTTCTTCCTTGCAGCTCCCCGAGTTTTTGATAAACTAAAAACATTCGTTCTTCAAATCGAATACTCAAACTTACCTCACACAGATGTTAGAGACAATCATGGAACCCTCTGGTGAGATAAATAGAAACTGAAGTGTACCAAAACGTCTTTCTTTAGCTAAGGGGTAAGATCGCTGATAAAACAACCTATGGAATGAAACGTTCGCTGAACCAAATTAGTACTTACTGTTTAATAGGCTCTCCTAGTGAGGACTTTGTGTTATAAACTAAGGTGACAGTCAAATCCCACTATTCGATTAGAGTAGCTCAAGAGTTGGCGGTGAGTGCTGTTGACTAGCTGCCTTCCCGTTACTCTTTCAGTTCAATATTAAAAACGGCTGGCGCAGATAACACTTCTGTATAATGCGCGAATTTCCGGAATGAGCTTTTCTACGTATATTTTTGGACAAAATTTTACTGATTCGCTTAGTTTTTGTTACCTTAATATCGTTTTTAGATTCCCTTTTTTTAAAGTTATCTTCAAGAACTGAAATTGGACATATTTTATACTGATCAATATGTAAACGCTGTTGAAAGAATGAGTACTGTATTATATATGAAATATCAATATGATCCAATATATATAACAGTTGGTTTAAAATGTAAATTGTAGTAGTTATAGTCAAATAAGTTCAACAGTCAATCTATTAATCAGCATGCCCATTTTTCTTCATAGGATACTAGCGATGCTCAGTATAAAGGACCACAAATAACGGCAGAAGCTCTTGAGAAATTGCGCTTACCAAAAACGGCCAGAATTCTAGATGTCGCTGCAGGCACTGGTTTAGTGGGAGAAGAAGTAAGTTATTTTATTTTGATAAAGTTGATTCAGACTAGAAAAAAACTAATTAATTTCCCTTTTATATACATATACATGTGTGTGTGTGTGTGTTTATTAAGCCACGTGCACTTGACTGTGCAATTTCAGACATGGTTATAGACTTGTAGGTTCTTTCGTGTCTATGGTAGCAATACGTGCACTCTCCATGGTAGTATAATCAAACTAAGAGTGGGACTCCTGGCTGTACGTGATAAAGGTATTCGTCAATCTTGTGTTTTTGGCTGAAGTCCAACCAAGTAATACTTTTTTTTACAACTACCAAAATAAGTTTTAATTTTATCAATTTTTACCACATACAATGGTTCGAAAATAAACAAAGTAAATATACACCAAAAATTAAAAAACTTTTATCCCCCCAAAATGACAAAACCAAGCAATCGCATCAGTTTATTACGTGAACACGCCGGAATGAAGTTATTAACCTTTTCTTATGTTTCCACAAAGACATGCTATTTTTCTATTATTTCTTCTTCTTCCAAACATGGCCAGGTGGTTAGGGCACTCGACTCGCAATCTGCAGGTCGCGGCTTCGAATCCCGTCCCACCAAACATGCTCGCACTTTCAACCGTGGGGATGTTATGATTTGATGCTCAATCCAACTATTCGTTGGTAAAAGAGTTAGCGGTGGGGGTGGGTGGGTGATGACTAGCTGCCTCCCTTTTAGTTTTTCACTGCTAAATTAGGGACGGCTAGCGCAGATAGCCCTCGTGTAGCTTTGCGCGGACTTCCAAAACAAACAAACAATATTTTCAGTCGACTGCCGTTCCTTCATTTCTCGGTCAAATACGCCCAGATGTCTTTTTGATTTAGGCCTTTTTAAGGATTTTATAGGGTCAAAGGTCAAACAACACAAAAATGAATATTTTGGGCTCCTGTGCGGTCATATTTACAGCAACCAAGATGAAAATTGATACACTCATATCAATTTTCATGCGCTCAACATATTGACGACAAAAAAAGTTAGATTCGCCCACTTGGAGTCATTTTAGTGGGGTCAGAGCTCACAAAAGAGCATAATTTTGGAGTTTTGGGTAAATTACTCGGCCATATTTTAACCAATTGATATGGGATTTGGTACAAAGATATCTTTTTGCAAGTCATAAGCAGTGATATAGACAGCTTTCGATTTTTTTGGTGTCAAAATTGGCAATGTTGGGATTGCGTGGCGGAGACATGATACATTCGCCCGCGAATGTGGGTCTGTTTAATCTTGTTTTTCTTTTATTTCGCGAGTGCTTTTAATTTCTATAACTAGATATTTTTCATAATTTTGTGTGTGTTTGTGTGAAACCCACAGACGCTTTTCAATAAAAAAAAAATTGTTAGTGTAGTTTCTTTGTCGTTAATTTTTATGATTAATATAATTCTAATATTAGGTTTGGTATCACTACAAAATGCCCACGTATCAGAAATGCCACATGATGTTTCCAATAACGTTTATTGATATTTTTAACCTTACATTTGCACTGAGCGTATGTAATGAGATATATCTGCTCTTTGGCAACAAGTGGGTAATGCATATTATTAAACTCTCTTTTAAGTCCATTTGAAAAACTTTACTATTATATAATTCCATTCAAAACTTACTCGAGGGAATACATACAGAGATACTAAATTTCGGGAAAACTGAGCGGCTGGACTTTTGTCTTGGAAGGAGGTGAAGCACCACGCGTAGCTGATGCCAGAACGGCCTGAAGAGAGAGGGTGTTCGAGGGATCTTCCTTTTTCTTGCTAAGTGGTGCGTTTTGGAACGTGATATAGGCTTCCAAAAAACATTTTTTTATATTTCTTTTTTAGACATTTACAACTTGTCCCACAAATGTGTTTATAAAAAATGGTAATTACATTCATGTTTATGAAACATGGTAAATGTTATTATATATAGTTGAATAAGGAATTTATGAGAATAAAGGGCTAATAACAAATTTAATAACTAATCACTGCATTTATTATCCTCCAATGAAAAAAAGAACTCGAGAATGCGCCTGCAATCTAAGTGTAATTATGCCGTAAATGGGCCTCAAAATATTAATGGGATCGATAGGAATCACGAAATGGGAGCATGTAGCGGAAGCTGTGGATAAAAAATCATATTTTTGTTCCAGTTTTAAATTGGCGAGAGAAAGGTCTCACTAAACGTGAGATCCAATTCGGGAGACTTCGAAAAAAGTGTGATATTTGTCAAGGTAGAAGGAACAACCCATAACTGTTGAACAGTTAATTATACCCTTACAGTCTTTCAATTCGTATTTTGATATTGATCAAGATCTAGAAGTTTTAATATGTAAGTCTGAAAGTCACCTTACCGTTAACATTTGTAGTAAAGAGATTAAGTTGCCACCGTAGCTCCATCTATATATTTAGCTACTAAAAAGTAGTTTAGTACGCCAAAGACGCGAAAGGGCTAATTTAACTCCTGCATTTATATTTCTATTCAGTTCTTGTAATTTTCACTAAAGATTTGAAACATATTCAAAGTTACTTCTCCAGTAAATTATATTTAAACTGACACAATATTATGGTAGAGTGTTTGAATGATCCACAGAAGCAAACGGGGTATTGTTTTTGACTATTCAAACTGAATGTTTAAAGTCAAAACAACTTCAGCCTGTTGTTTGACCACCCAGAGAACTAGTAGGCACCTGTTGCCAAAGGAGTCACGTGTAGGTGCAAAATAAATGACAATGTTCTAGTTTATATTGAGTTTGAAAATATACACTTGATCTCATTTCTGCTTTGGCGGGCAAACAAATCTGCAGTCTAGAGAAACTACTATCACAAACATTAGGCCTATTGCTTTTCAACCCTTCGCCAGCCTTCGGTGTTCAACACCATAAATTAACTTATAACATCAAGGTTAAAATCTTCGTTAGTTAATAATTATTTGTTTCTAAGTTTTTGAATAGTTGGTTTTTATCTGATCCCTCTCGCAGATACCCAAATAATGATAAAGAATACTTTATTTGGTGTAGACTATTTGTTCAAACACTTAATCACCGAGACGACAATAAAATGAGATTTTTGACCACGTAATACGGTTAGAATTCATCGCAGATTATCAAGACCTCACCATAATATTAGAGAAAAATATTTTAACAGAAAAAAACACGTAGATACTCTAATTAGCAAAATAGTAACGCTGCATATTTGTAAAAGCGCATAACTTAAACATAGTATTTAACACTCAAAAAGCTTTAGATATTACCCTAGAATACTTAAAAGGATTTGTAGCTCTCTCAATGCTGTTACGTTTTGAAAACTTTCCAACTACCTTACAATAAATAATACAAACCTGATTTCCTTAATCTCTTTCAGGCAAAGAACTCACCCATTATCAAGTCGTCTTAATTTGAAAACGCGTTTAACTCTGCATCAAAACTTCCACATGATACTACTCCCAAACGAGGATAATCATGTTACCAACTTCAGTGAAACCAAACAAATAATCGTAAAATGAGTCATTAAACCTAAACACGAGAGCCCAACAATTAGTCTCAAAACTAATCTCAAGAACTAAACATTAGTCAAACGAACATATCTCAAATTCAATATTTCGCGAAACGTACAAACTACATTACAAAACAAAATTATGTGAACTTGCGTGCACAGGGTTTTATTTGAATCTTAACTGTGGCCAGACATCCTTCAACAGGCTTAACAGCAGTACAATCTTGTATACAGTTAAGAATCGAAAAACATTCGTAAAAGTGACAAATGTGCAACTTTACGAATTCAAGAACAGATGATTATTGTTTACACTACATATAGAACGTGATATTGTTAAAAAGTATTGTTTGAAAGATAAAATCGTTTGAAATTAATAATAGTAATTATTTAAAAATATTTCTAAAATAGGAATTTTAAATATATAAGTTATTTTAGAGCAAGGCCACATTGGGCTATTTATTGTGTCCACCGCTGGGAAATGAACCCCAGATTTGAGCGTTGTAACTCAGTAAAATTACCTCTATCCCACCAGGGGACAACTAATAAGAAAATAAACTTATTGATATTAGCTGCTCTTAACATTCTTAAAATGCATTACGTTTTGCTTAAAGGACATTTAGGCCTTATAACCACACCTGATACAAGTTATGCTGTTACTGTTAGGCTACGCCACAATAGAATAATCAATGTTCGCGTAAACGAAACAATGAACCCACCAACGGCAATCAAATGAAACTATGAAAAAGCCTAAATATAAAATGGTTTAAAACGGGTTAATCTTGCTATATATATATCTTTTGTAATTAATGTTATATTATATGGACCGAGCGTGACCTAGCGGTTAGCTTGCCAGACTAAGAATCTGAAAGTTAATGGCTTGCGTCATTTTGACGCAAAATCGCGCTTTGCGTTTTGAGATATGGGTGAGTTATAAAAGTGATGGCGAAATCCCACTATTGCATTATAGTAACCAAAGAGTAGGCGGTAGGTACTGTTGGCTAGCTCCCTCCCTTTTAGTCTATCAGTTAAAAATTAGTGACAGTTAGCGCAATAGGCCTTGTGTATCTTCACACAAAGCTACACAATGGGGTATCTGTGTTGTGCCCACCACGGATATCGAAAACTGGTTCTAGCGTTATAAGTCCGCAGGCTTACCGCTGCGCAACTAGGGTTTTTTTCTAGAGAGAAAATTCGACAAAATATAAATAAGCAATATTATTTCAAACCTACATTAATAAACATAAAAAAATAATACAAAAACGACCACTATTAGACCAAGTAAAGAAATACATATTTAGCGTACCGTTTTCTTTTTTTGCAGCCGCCACCCCTCACTTTTTGGGCGATTTCTTTTACCTTATTTTGAATTATGTTTTTCGATCATACAAAGAAACAAAGAAGAGTTCCGAATAAAAATCAGATGAATACAATTGATTGATTTTGCCCCTTTTCTTTATTTATCATAAATTCTGTTTCGTTTTGATGAAAAAATGAAACAAAAAAGACTTCTGTTTGACATGGACCCTTTGAAAAATACAACAATCATGAAAAAAGGTGTAAACTTTCTTTCAAAGAGTTTGTTTGAAGTTAAGCCCAAAGCTACAGAATGGGCTACCTGTGCTCTGCCACCACGGGTATCGAAACCCGGTTTCTAGCGTTTTAAGTCCGCAGACATACCGCTGTGCTACTGGGGGGCCTTTCAAAGAGGTCATTTAATAATAATAAAAAAAAGTACCCCCTCCTTTCTTTTTTCGAAAACTCCAGACGTGAAACATGTTTTTTTTTTACTTGAACTTATATTTAACCTGAAAATTAAGGTAATACTGTAGTCTCTCGAGGTAAATACTAAAATACCCACGTGTCTTGAAACACGATGTCTAACACAAACATAGAAAGGACAGATATTTCCGGTTCTCACCTAATTATCACCTAATCTTCTAATTATAAACGGGGTTTATTCCTAACATTAGGTCCTCTAGTGGGTCAGCGGCACGTTTATGAATTACAAGGCTAAAATGTAGGTAAACCGTTGGGCAGTTTTCTAAATTGATGGGCCATGTTCTACTGTTATTCTGCAATAAGATTAATGTTGAATAAGAAACAAAGTAACAACAATGCAGCTTTAAAGTTTTGTTTGACTACAAGTTTTAAACTTTGGGCACATTCTTTATTAGAAAGCTGTTAAAGAAAAAGTTAATAAACATTTATAGTATATAAGTTTCTTTTTATTTTACTTTAATTATTTGGCAATCTACTTATAGAAATGTGGATAAGTTATAACTTTGTAAATACTTTTATTTGTATAAAAAAATATGATTTTCGCTAACAAGATTCAATTTCTAGAAAAAGACCATTTTTTCTGTAGCGCAAGACCAAATTGATAACATCACCTCACTAAATTATTAAAGAAACAAATAGAATTGCTGGAATATCAGTATCATAACGTGTGATATCTGTGTTATAAAATAATACATTTGGTGGTGTTAATATTCACTTATTATATAGTTTGTTTGTTGTTAAGCACAAAGCTACACAAAGGGCTAGCTGTGCTCTGCCCACCACTGGTATCGAAACCCGGTTTATAGCGTTGTAAATGCGCATACATGCCACTGTGCCACTGGGGGCACTTATTATATAGAATTCTATTATTAAACACTATAACCGAGAGTGTTTGTAGATAGATTTAGCTTAACTCTATATCTTATTTATCCTCTATCTCTACAACAGCTTCGAAAGAAAGGGTTCACCAACGTTGACGGTCTAGATGGCTCTCAAGCTCTGTTGGAAATTGCCCAAAAGAAGAATGTTTACAGAAGATATATCACAGCTCTTATTGGGGATGACAGAAAAGCTCCACTTGACGACAGTAAGTAAAATATGAAGCTTCATAGATATGTATTTGACTTTACTATATACCAGCTGGAGTACCCGTCCTCTGGACGGAAGTTATGTAAATTCATGATTAATTAAAAGTTGCTTCCCTTATATGTATTTGTTAAAAACGCAAAAACGCCCATAAAAACCACAATATACAAAACTGAAAATTTGTATGTATCTTTCCTATGGACACAATGAACCTCCATACAAAATTTGGTGAAGATCCATCAACAGGGGGCGAAGTATTAATAAAAAAGGCAAAAAACGCCCATACAAACCGCAAAACGCAAAATGCAAAACTGAAAATTTGTATGTATCTCCCCATGGACCCAATAAACCTCCATATTAATTTTGGTGAAGATCCATCCACACTCTGCGAAGTAGTGACATGGACATACAATAGAAAGTACTATTATATTTATATAGATACACAATTTATTCTGTAACAAAAACGGTTATTTTCACTCATTGGATTTATATCACATATCTTTACATAAGGCCAGCTATTTTTCATATCTTAGTCTTGTTGCCAAGTGCCATGCTGTTCAAAAACGTTGGACGCCATATTTCGATTTTTTATGCAATTGTAATATTTACTAAAGCATACGTTTAACATAGGATTTCTCTTTCACTCATTTGTTTTTCACACCAGAACCCAACAGATCTTCAGAAGATAGCTCCAAGCCTTGCTGACCGTGACTGCAACTGTGCTACTGTTCGACACGTCATCATCAATTAATCATCATTATTCCTTTGATTATCTGCGTGTTCAAGGTTCCCAGATCTTCAACTTGCAACAGCCGCTGTGGGTGCGATCACAATGGACTTTTTAACAGCCCTTGTTGAGAAAAATCCATCTATCTATCCCAAAAATGTTGTGGCGGGACTCTAAAACAGATTTGGTGTTGACAAGGGCAGTAGTGATAGTAGTAGTAACCTTCTGCCAGAAAAGAAGATCAAGAACAAGGTCCTCCAACCTAAAATACGTAATGAAATAAGCAAGGTCGTATAATTTTATTTCAGAATCAGAAAAATAGATAATCAATATGTGTGTGTATGCCCGTTGCTGGTAAAGTCATCGATCACTCCTAAACCCTCTGTCTCTTTGATTGCTTATAACTCCCGACTTAAATATGCTACCATGATATGGATTGCATATTTGGATACAGCGGGTTCTGGACTTTTCAAAGGTATATACAACACTTCCAAGAAACAATTACCAGAGTTTCTTGTTCCTTGCCCTGCCACCCCAAAACACTAATTTGCCTCTGGTGAGGAAAATTTCATATACAAACAAATTGTATAAATTAAAGTTTTCATAAAGGCGATACTACATTGCATGTGTATTTATATATCCAAGTATTTATTTCCATCTTACTTTACGTCTTTATCTGCGTTACAATTACTTCCAGAAAAGATTTAGTTTTTATGTTACTACGGAATGCCCTTCAGTGGTTCAGCGGTAAGTCTGGGGGCTTATAAGATGCTACAAATCGGTGTTCGATCGCTTTGGTGGGAACACGATAGCCCATTGTGCAGCTAAGTGCCTAAGACAAACAGCCGTCTCAGCTTATGGTTTTATTATTATTTTCAGTAAGTAGTTTGGTTTTCATTTAGATATTTAGTACAAAGTTTTTTTTAGTAGCATATCAATATATATTTAGATTATTCTATTGTGACAAATTTAAAAGGTGTTATATTGTTTTGAAACGTAAACATATGTAGAATGCTTTTTGTATTTGTTTGTTGAACTTTAGTCGATGGATGCTAGTGTTTGGTCAATAGTTATACATTGTTACTCAGTCACTAATGCTCATTAACTTCTAATTCAGTACTGCCTCTTACGGATTGCCATATTTTTTTGGATTAAATTATGCTGCAACAATAATAGTCATGTTATTCTTCACTGAAATTTCAGTGTCCTTATAAGCTCATTTAGTAGCATGGGACGTGTGATAGAGAACATCTATAAAATTAGTCACTTTGTTTTGTGTAATATTTGGTTATACGACATGCCATTCAGTTTACGGTCAGAAGCTCTATGAGAACATACGGCTGAAGATGTAGATCTATTCATTGTGATTTATTTTTAACTGTGTGTGTGTATGTAAGCATACATATATGTGTTATTTTGATATTTATATATATATTGGTGTTTGTATGTGCATTGTAGTGAATAATTCATATTATTTTTGTTTTTTTAATTATACAAAATAGTTTGCCTCCCAGTGGCACAGTGGTATGTCTGCGGACTTACAACGCTAGAATCATGGTTTCGATACCTGTGGAATAGCTTAATATAGAATTATGACTGAATTACTATATATTATCTATTTTTGATACCCAAGAAGAAGTAAACTATTGCGTTTGGTTAAGAATGTTTTGTACTTACATAAATATTAGTATGGTGGTGTAGTGTTAAGTGGAGCCTTTTATATTTACATACAGATGAGTATGATGGTGTAGTGTTAAGTGGAGCCTTTTATATTTACATACAGATGAGTATGATGGTGTAGTGTTAAGTGGAGCCTTTTATATTTACATACAGATGAGTATGATGGTGTAGTGTTAAGTGGAGCCGTTTGTGTTTACATACAGATGAGTATGGTGGTGTAGTGTTAAGTGGAGCCTTTTATATTTACATACAGATGAGTATGATGGTGTAGTGTTAAGTAGAGCCTTTTGTGTTTACATACAGATGAGTATGATGGTGTAGTGTTAAGTGGAGCCTTTTGTGTTTACATACAGATGAGTATGATGCTGTAGTGTTAAGTGGAGCTTTCTCTCCAGGGCATCTTTATACTGACTGTTTACCAGAACTAATTCGAATTGTCAAACCCGGTAAGTTATTGAATCTTGTCCCTTTTATTTCATGATAAAGAATTATAACTAATTACCTATATCCAGTACACTGTGACACATAGTAAATCACCGGTAGTGGATCTGTTAATACTTATTCAATATCATGCAGATCCAGCAAATAAAAGAGTAGAATAAAAAATTATAGGTCAAATGACGCTCGATAAAATTCACATAAACCTCAATCTACTAATCAAAATAGTATTTTAGTTGACGATAGTTGTAATAAAGCATCATAAACTTAAAGTGTTTGAATAGTAACCCACGTGGTAAGTTAAGAGTGTGATGGGTCTGATTAGGTAGGCCACCAGATGATCAGCAACCAAAGGAATAAGCTTCGTTGTGTGATAACCTCTACCATCGACCTAGGATGTTGAGAGCTAGTATTGTTCAAAATAACAGTTCCCAACAGGTCATTGTAGGAATTCTTGTTAGGTAATAAGTTTCTGTATTACAGTTCCCACACACACACATTCATAAAGATGAATAAAACTTGAATTCTAATTTAGCAGGAAAGCTGAATAGCCTCTAAATTCGAGTCTAAGATCGAAAGAGTATAAAGACTCGCGCACGTGTGCATCCGTGCCTGTGTGTGTGAGTGTGTAAAACCTACATAAGGAGCATAAGTTTTTATGTCCTCTGCGCATTTAGAACTCCGATCTAAATATTTATACAAATAAAACTAATGCGAGTAAATTACTGTCTTCACGTCATACAGTGATCTTGTAAAAACAGCTTGATATTTGATAGTGTCTGGTTTTTCATAATGTTTACTTAAACACAAAGTTTTTAAAAGTAGCAAGTTTATGAATCGAATATCAAAATCTAGGTCAGTTCTTTTTACAGGTAGGTTGATAATCAGTGATCAAAGAATAATAATATGTGATAGGACTAGTTGATAGAAGACATGAAGTCTGAACATATACGAGATATGAATGGAGAAACTTATTATAATCTTTGCTGCAAACAAAATTGCTAGTACCGCTTCACTATATTTTATAAGCAAGTTTAAACTAGACATATAGTTAAGAAATGTTAAATACTAGCTGGAGTACTCGTCCCCTGGACGGAAGTAATGAGGTTCATGATTAATGAAAGGTTATCTTAGGACATGAAAAGTTGCTTACCTTAAAGTAATTGTAAAAATCGCAAAAACGCCCATAAAAACTGCGAAACACAAAATGTGAAACCGCAAGTTTGCACGTATCTCCGCATGGACCCAACAAACCATCATGCCAAATTTGATGAAGGTCCATCAACAGGGAGTGAAGTAGTGGTAAAATACTGCAAAATGCAAAACTGAAAATTTGTATGTACCCACGCATGGACTTATGAATCTCCGTGCTAATTTTGATGAAGATCCATCTACACCCTACAAAGTAGTTACATGGACATGCAGCTGTCAACAGACATTAATATTGTATAGATACATGTTCATATAGGCGTAATTAAAACTCTTGTTGTCTAGTTGACATAATTATTTCGTACTGTATTAACCGTTTGTTAATAACCAGAAGACTATAGGACAGAAGATGGTGAATCTGATGGTAAAATAAATCCCAAGAATATTAGTAGCGTATTAACCTGCCTAAAAAATAAAGAAGGAGCAGTCTAATTAGTGATGAAAGCGCTAATATTTAAATATATTAAACGTGATCCTAGTAACAAGGAACATTTATTATCAAGTGAACAATCTGGTATTAAGATTACCTTTAACAATACAAACCTTTCTTGTTCCTGGTGTATGGTCATCACTAAATAATCAAATATTGTTATAAACTGAAAAATAAAGAAGTGTGTTAAGATTAATTATTATAGTAATCTACCCTTCTATCTACAAACGTAAACACTTTAGATTCTCTCACAATTTCGCAAATTGTTTTTGTTCTAACCTCGGATATCCTGCTCCTACAGGGGGTTATATCTGTTGGAGTATGCGCGACTTCAGTTGCTACTCGGAGAGGTTCAGGGAAGACAAGTTTAACGAAGGAGTTGAGGAACTCTGTCGAGTAGGACTCTGGAAAAAAGTTCATGAACCCTACACCTTCCAGAACTTTCTTGTAGGCAAGGAAGGCAAAGTTTATTCTATGTTGGTGACAAAGTAACTTGTACGGTTGTAGATACTGCTCAGCCCTTCAATCGTCTCTAATTTTTCACAGTATTTCTACATCTTAATATAAGCAGTTAAATTTTTCTTCCAGCAGTTATCACTACTATTTTAATCTCCATGAAAATATAATGTTTATATATCAAGCATCAAGCAGGTTATTTGACAGTCTTTTATGAATAAACTCACCCTACTTGAAGACTGTGTGACTCTCTTCAACTTCTCTTTTTCAAAGCATGAATATATGTTTATCGTTATACACAATTACTAAACATTTTCTCATTATAAACAGAAAATATGTTTATCATTATACACAAAACATTTTCTCATTATAAACAGAAAATATGTTTATCATTATACACAAAACATTTTCTCATTATAAACAGAAAATATGTTTATCATAATACACAAAACATTTTCTCATTATAAACAGCTGTTTATAATGAGAAAATGTTTAGTGATTGTGTACAATGATAAACATATTTTCTGTTCATAATGAGAAAATGTTTAGTGATTGTGTATAATGATAAACATATTTTCTGTTTATAATGAGAAAATGTTTAGTGATTGTGTATAATGATAAACATATTTTAAAATATGTTTATCATTATACACAATCACTAAACATTTTCTCATTATGAACAGAAAATATGTTTATCATTATACACAATCACTAAACATTTTCTCATTATGAACAGAAAATATATGTTTCACTTGTGTATAAAAGTGAATGTTTAACGCTGAGTAAATTATAGTATAACTCAACCGTAATTAGCAAAGTAACTATCACTCTAATTAGTACTGTATTTTTGTTTAATTAAAGGCGTCAGTGCAGTAAAATCAAGTACATTAATCACGCCATAGTTGCAGAGACACCAAAAGCAATCATTTGTTTTCGTGCCGAACCAAGTGTTTATGGGTAAGATGTTTTGCAGCAGCATACCTATTTGTTTTTCGCCAATATGTCATGCCGCTATTTCGTTGTTGTTGTTGGTTGTGATTTTTTTTTTTCTGTCACCAGTACGCATTCCGGCTCATACAGCTCCACTTTAACCATTGAATTTGAATAAATTAAGGGTCGTTTTATTCAGTAGGATATTCAGCATTCAGGCTAAACGAAAATAAAGCAAAGTATTTTAAGTTTTCCTCGGGTCAAGTTATTTTATCACACAAACACCTATTCTATCACTTATAAGTTATGTGAATTAACAATTAAATATGAAAGCACATTATTACACAAAAAATAACGTTTAGATACGTTGTGCTATGAAAGTAACAAAACCTGGATTTATTTTACTATCTTATAAAGAATTAATAGGAGGAATAACATGAAATTCTAGATAACACTTACTAAAAAGAAAAAGACATATTCACGTTTACTAAATGTATATTCTAATTCTTTAAATATGTAAATATTTTAAATTGTATTAAAACAAACGTTGAAATAATTCCATGTTAACAAAGGCGTTCCTGGTACTTAATGTTCAACATGATGATATTTTTTAACGTAATGTAGTTCACTGTTCCATGGTATGACTTGAACACGTACTATAGTTAGTGTTAGAAGTTTTCTGGTGGTAGATACTGTATAGCTTTACTTTTAGATTGTGTTATATTAAATTTAAAAAAATTAAAATCCTTGAATTACGAAAATGAGTCGCGGTTTTGTTTCTGTGAAACAATCCATTTATCTTATTATGATTTAGAGAAAGTAACAAACTAGAATTACTACTCAAGCAATAAGCTAGAAATAAGGGGTGATAAGTTTCTTCTCTACGATCATGTGTTATTTTAATTCATCATTTGAATAAAAAATTGTTTCTTATAGATTTTTGTTTTTAATGTACTACAATTCTTATATCAGCTTTCCTTGGCTAATTATATCTTTTAAAGGCTCTTGTAATCAAATAGAAATTATGTTGAATTTGAATGTGGTAAGAGTGAAAGTGATGAGTAACTGTATAAGCAGATTAAAATGCAAATCTATCTCAAAAGTAAAGAAATTAATAATACCTTCAGAGTCATGAAATTGAACTTTTGTGTTGCTCATTTACTTGTTACAATGTGATTTTATGATGTTGTTGATTTGAAGAAATATTGAAATCTTTTAACTTTATGTGTTTCCTATCATGATATATTTAGAAAATATTGGTCCAATTAAAAACTAAAAGTTGAAGTACTGACAAGACAAAACTAATTTCAATCTCTTATAAATTATTTTCATGGAGAAAAGTTAACACCACAAACCACAAAAAGTGCAGTAAACAAATTTAAATGTATTCACATCAAAACAATGAGAACACGCTTCAATTTGTTTAAAGGCCATTGTTGGGTTAGTTCCTTAGCTCTTCGCCTGCTTTCAGCCCCTCGTGCTTTATCTTGAGATTAATCTTCCCTGATTTCAACCCCTCGTTCTTTACTTTATTTTCAGACGACTCCTCGTCTAATTTAAACCCCTCATAATTTGCTTTAGCTTCAGACAACTCTTCATCTGATTTGAAACCTTCGTGGTTTTCTTTATCTTCAGACAACTCTTCATCGGATTTGAAACCTTCGTGTTTTGCTTTTTCTTCGGACGATTCTTCTTTTGATTTGAACCCAAGGTGCTTTACTTTATTTTTATACGACTCTTTATCTGATTTTAACCTCTCGTTATTTTCTTTTACTTCAAACGATTCTTCTTTTGATTTCAAACGCTTGTGGTTGGTTTTATCTTTGAATGGTTCTTTATCTGATCTAAACCCCTCGTGTTCTTCTTTATCTTCAGATGACTCTTTACCTGATCTGAACCCCTCGTATTCTTCTTTATCTTCAGATGACTCTTCTTTTGATTTCAACCCCTTGTGGTTTGCTTTATTTTTATACGACTCTTCATCTGATCCGAACCTCTCGTGTTCTTCGTTTTCTTCGGATGATTTTTCTTTTGATTTCACCCCCCTGTTTTTTGCTTCATCTTTAAATGGTTCTTCATTAGTTTCGAATCTATCGTGTTTTATTTTTTCTTCTGACGATATTTCTTTTGATCCCAAACCCCTGTTCTTTGCTTTATCTTCAAATGGTTCTTCATCTGATTCGAACCTCTCTTATTCTTCTTTTTCTTCAGACGATTCTTCTTTTGATTTCAACCCTATGTGCTTTGCTTTATCTTCATACTACTCTTCATCTGATCTGAAACTATCCTGTGTTGCTTGCTCTTCAGGCGACTCTTCTTCTGATTTCAACTCTTCATGTTTTGATTTATTTTCAGACTTTACATCTACAGCATTCCTAACATACTGACAAAAATAAATGGTGGAAATTGATAATACTTTTGAAAAGTGAAATAATGAAACATTTAAAACAGGTCATGGGAAGAATACTGTGTAATGTGAAATGAATTAGTAATCATCTTCATGACTCTATAATTTCGAAACTAGATGTGAGATTGGATTTTACTAATAAAAAATTAATTTTAACATTAAAATTAAGTTAAAAATCAATTACCGAAATTAGAAAAACATGGGTGCACTAAAATAACAAAGTATTAATCATTTCTTGATACCTACCTTAATGTATCGCATTTTTTAACTTATATATAAAAAGTCTAATTGGATTTGTTAGTAGAAATTTTAATAGAATAAAAAATATATGTTGAAAATTAAAATGAAATATTATTTTAAACTGAAAATTTAAATTTATGAAGCATGGAAATAAAGGTGATGTGATGAGTAACAAAAACAGTGCACTTTATTGTCATGATATAAAGATTGTTTGGTGTATGTAGTATTAAATTATTTATTTTGTGAGTTAATATTTAATGAGTGTTTATGCTTATCTTATAATAAGAGAGTTAAAAGTAGACGATTGTTGGAAGTTGTGTTTATAATTCGTTGATGTTGAGACTATCGAATGTTGTGTGCAGTACATTGACTCGAGAATATAGATTTCTAGAAGGCGAGCAGATGATTCAGTGATAAACATATAAATAGTGTGAGACGAGCGAAAACAGCAGACAGACAATAGCAGAAGAGAGTCAAGTCACAGCCAAGGAAAAGTTCGGCGTGAAGTTAACTGCCGTAGAAGTGATAGGTCTAACGATTAACATAGATCTAACGTTTAATATGCTAGAGTAAGACTAACAGTAGAAAGGGAGATAAGAAGAAGAATTTATTCCGTCAAAGCGTGGTTCTAAAGTAATGAAGCCAACCTGAGTGCACTTTGATAAAAGGAACAGATGATATTTTGAATAAAGAAGACCAAACGATTACTGGAAGAGCAGTATACGACTGTGGTAACTCGCGCCACACTTGTAAGTGAACTATACACAGAATACTAGTGCGATAGAAATAGGGAAAGGTAGTTCCTCTTGTCAACTGAAATTCTAAAGTAATTGAATAGGCCTAAGTGGAATTTTGACAAGAAGAAGAGAACCATATAATGTTCATGATATCCCTATGATCTCTATGGTGTAAATAATTTGTTGTACATACGTTAAACTAGTTCCGAATACATATATTATTTTGGAAACAAGTGGAGTGAGTGTTGATTGTTCATTTATTGTTAAATTTATCGCCAACAAGTCACAGATACCTATTGTAGAAGAATCCTAAGCTCATCAACAACAACACAGTATATATTTATACTAATAAGAGGTATATGTAAAAGCCTTTAATTGACAAATAACGAACATCTGACATTTCCAAAAAATCTAATTCTATAATGTCAATAGTTTTATTATAAACTTGTATGAAAAGACAATGCTCTAATATACATAACTCAAACAATAGAACTTCAAAATCAACTTTCTTGTTTCAGTATGTAAAAAATGTACATTATCTCAATATAGTACATTAACTGTACTGAAACTGACAACAAAAAAAGGTGGAAAATTACTACATTACATTGACCAAAATACTTTAAATAAATCAAAATTTACACTGAATAAAGGGGTGTGCGGACCACTACAAAAATATAATAGCACAAAATTTAGGAACATTGACATTAAATAAAAGAATGGATCGCTACAAAGATACAGTAATGCAAAATATAAGAACGCTGGCGCTAAATAAGATGTGCAACAGTAAAAGATTAGAATAAGCCATATACAAATAAAAACACGCACAACTATGGGTCATAAGTGCATTACAATTAACTT